TCGCATGAATAAGAGTGATTCATTAGAAAAATTTTGAATATTTCCATTTTTGTCGCTTTTTTTGATGACTGAGTCGATTTGTTTTCTGGAATTCAAGTCTGTGGTGAAAGGGCGTGTGTCGAGCTTGAGATGAAGGCATGGAAAAACTCGATGATGCGGCTGTGCTCATTGAGTTAGCCTCAAGTGTGATTTACGCGCATATACGAGCAGAATCCTTGACATCCGGGTGCACGGAATGAACCGCAGATTTAGATCAGAGTTGCGCATAATTTTGAAAAATGAAATAATTACCCAGTCTCGCGTCAAGACGAAGAACATATCCAGGGGTGAAACTTTGAGGATAATGGCGAAGGCTCACAACGAGGAGCAACATCTGACAAAACACAAGGACAAAGAATTGACAAACGACAGTGGTGTCAACGCAATATGAAAGAATAGCAGAGATCAAAATTTTTTGGATCAGCCGACATCCTTGCTTAAGGAATTTATTGTGTTCTTGTTGATCAAACACTTTGTGTTACTTTAATCTCTAAAAAAGGTAAAGCCGACGTTTCGGCGGATTTCGCTATCTAAAGAACTGGGAAAGGTCAGGCTCACAGCAGTCTAATCGGCCAAACCCATCCGTGACCAGACAGAGAAAACGCTATACCAACGTTCAATCGCATTTAAAACAAAATAGTCACACTTACCGCTTTCTGTAGTCATCCATTTTTCCCTGTCGCGTGAAAGAGTAGCCTAGTGGGTTCTGCTTTCTTCAGAGACTCGTTGAGCATTACACCTTTTAGAGTTTTCGTGAAGAACTCTGATCATCGAGTCGGTAGTCTTCCGGCTATAGGTTTGACATCTCAAGGAATCCAGTCACTAACGGCTCTTGTCTATCGGTTGTCGTTTATACGCATTTGGTATCCTTCCTACGTTAGCTTCGATTGTTTGGTGTGCAAAACGGCATCTTTGATTTTTGGTCGTTGAAGAAGATTAGAGCTTCAGATCCCATACCTTACTTGTCTGATACAGGATACTCCTAGCATCGTCCTTTCGTCCGCGCGTTCAATAACGCTGAGTAATCTTCCATTCTGCTTATGCAGCGACCAGGTTTCTTTTTTTTTTGAAATACATAGCTAAGAAAGAAACAATCGTGGAGTCGAAAGGGTGCGTACGGAGTCAGGTGTCTTTTGTTCTCTTTACATCCTCGATGCTCTTGAAAGCTTCACAAGCCGCTCGTTTCCTTCTGCTCAACTCTGGGACTAAGCCTTGCATCACGTTGATTTCCCGACCTAGATAGGCATAACTGCAGCAATCGGAGAAAATCATTCAATCATTTAAGAAAAGAAACTATTGTGCTCAGTATTTGGAGAACCGCCTCTGGAGGAGAATAGTGGGTGGGTCAGTGTTGATTTGCAACTCTATTAGGTCTAATGCTAAAGTAACTTTGCGGAGAAAATTCGAAGACCTTTTGAGTAAATCGCATCACGCGGCTTCAAGAGCATACAGAAACACCGCCAACGAAGATCAAACGATTCACAGTAGGATAGATAATGTGCAAAGAAATTCAAGACTAAGCGTGCTAGGAGGCATAACCCTCCCTGACGGTGCGCGCTCGTTATTAGAATTGGGACCGAGTTTCTCACCATCTGAACCCATTTCTAAGGTAACCTTGCGTAGGGTCGCATGTAGTTTACATGAACTTCAAGATAGACTCCGCAAAAAAGCTAGGGATGAAGCGCAAAATAGGCGCGAACAACAAAAAGTAGAGGCAATACCAGTACCACCATTTCCTCAACCGTTCTTTAGACAACAAGAGCCCATTAATAAAGTCGATGTTAAATTTCGGATGTTTACGAATGAAACTTTCAAAGTCCTTAATCACTATCGCGCTAAAAGAAACTGCTCCGACTTTACTGAAATACAAAAACGTGGTATGCGGAAGGTACGAGAGCTGATAAGATCAAAAAACATAAGACTATCGGTTAGTGATAAGGGTGGAGAGTTCGTTGTAATTTTCTATCAGTTAGATGTGGAGATAACGGAAAAGCACCTTAAAGATGCTTCCCTTTATCGTCCGTCGTCTGAGAAGGAATTTAAAAGTCAATACCGAAGGTTAAACAACGAATGGGTTAAAGTGGCAAGAGCGGCCGGGTTAAAACCATCAGTTATCTCTCATCTCAAAATTGACTTACCAACATGTCCCGTCCTGTACTTACTTATCAAAACCCATAAGTTAGTATCCAGCGATGGTCTCGTGTCTACCGATCCATCGTTATTTAAGGTTAGACCTATCATTAGCTGCGTGGACGGGCCAACGGATAGAAAAACGTGGTTAATAACCCTAATACTTATTCAGTTGTTGAAGTACATTCCAGCCCATCTAACGAACACCCAAATGTTCCTGGATCGTCTACGTAACACGCGACCCAACAGCGCGTACGTGGTGGAGTCCTTCGACGTCACTGCCCTCTATACGAACGTGTCGAATGACTCCGCTATGCAAGCCGTAAACGAGCTCCTTATACAACACGAAGGAGCAATAAACATGTACGGTTTCTCGTTTCAGCAGTTGATGACACTCTTAAAGGAGTGCCTAAACTACTCAATCTTCAGATGGTTCAGGAGGTACTACGCACAAATGAGAGGGCTGGCAATGGGACAACGACTGGCACCAAGCCTTGCCATTGCATTCATGTCTAAGGTGGAAGCGCCAGTAATCGACCTCAGTCCGTTACTCTGCTGTAGATATATAGATGACTGCTTGGTCATTTGTTTAACGCAAAAAGAAATAGACAGATGTTTCGAGTTGTTGAACACACAGTCAGAGTATATTAAATTCACCCGAGAGAAATCAAAAGAAGACTAGCTTCCATTTCTAAACGTGCAAATTAGCCTATCAGAAAACGGCTACATTACGAAGTGGTATCGAAAGCCAAGTAGTAAAAACATCCTAGTTTATTACCTCTCCTCTCATCCCTCTCACACGAAAAGGGCGCTTGTGAGAAACATGTATCAAACAGCTACCAACGTGTGCTCAGGAAGACAACAGAGAGAGGAGCCCCGGAACTTGGCGCGGCAAATAGCTATTTTTAATGGCTACGAAACCGTAGCTCGAGATAGGTGTAGAGGAAACCACAGGTACCCCAACGATAACTCTAGCGACAACAAGGTCCCGTTTATACTGCCCTTCGTTTCAAATGAAGTAAGTGCAGCTATAAAAGCTGTTTAAGAAGGGCCAGTCTAGAGAATTCGGTAACGATAATCGAAATACCACCGAGTAATCTAAGGCGCCAGCTAGTTCGTAACCACCTATTCGACCGTCTATGTGCAACGCAAAATTGCATAATTTGCCCCAATGGTAGAAACGGTGACTGCATGAGATCGGGTACAGTCTATCCGATCTCTTGTAAAGCGTGCGGGGACGAATACGTTGGCGAAACGGGTAGACCACTCTGCGTACGTATAAAAGAACACCTAGTCGGCAAACGTAAGCCAAGTACTCCACCGGGTATGCATAGCACGCAGAGACATAACAGAGAAGATTTTGAAGTAAGGGTTACGATCCTCGCGCATGAATCGAGAACACAAGCGCACAAAACTCTAGAGGCATTCTGGATTAATTCGAAGAATCCGAAAATGAACCGCAGGAAAGAATGCCTCGTTATCACGCGTGATATTGGACAGTATATAAACCTGTTATTCTGATGGGAGGGGCACATTACTTCTATGTGAATTCTGTGCGGTCGGTCTTCACGCGACATACTCAGTGGAAGACTCATAGAAAGCGGTGAGTGTGCAGAGCTATGCTAAATGTGATTGAAATCTTGGTTTAGAGTTTTCTTTGTTTGGTTATGGGGGTGTTTGGCCAAATGGATTGCTGTCAACTTGACCCTTCCAGGCTCTGAGGAAGGCGAAATCCGCCGAAACGTCAGCATGTGCGTAAATAAAGAAATAAAATAGCACCTCGTGTTTGCTGAACAGAAGTAGAAAGATATATGCAATCAATGCCGAGGTTAATAAAAAGTCGGACTTGGAAAAATCATTCCGTTGAGCTTGAATGGAGCATAGGTAACCAATCTGCTTCTTATAAACATTTTTTTTTGTGAGATTTGGTCAAAGACTGATTTTTCCACGGGCTTCACCAACGTCGGCAAGCACTCGTTCTGCTTGAGTAATGTTTGCGTTATAAGAACAATTTCATCTACAAAGCGAAGATGGGGTAATTTCCGGCCGTCGATTTTTACTGCCATATTGTCCTATTCCAATATTCGCATGACGTTCTGGAATTTAGCGGTAAATGATTCTGGCGAGATTATATCGCCTTGCGTAATCCTTCCTCTGACGTCGGTGTTAATATCGTCCTGGAATGGTGCTATATTTCCCAGGATCGACTTTCTATTAACCTCGGCATTGGAGTATGAATGTGTCGTTTTCTTGTTCAGCAATCGCGAAGTTTTTAAACAGTATACATTTACTTCCATAGAAAAGCACAATACAATACAACGCTAGCTGACGTTTCGGTAGCCCTGTCGTCGGGATGGTGCAGTCGTCAACCACATGCGACTATAATCAGCTGTTCTAAACTTCCTCATTGGAAGTCACGAAGAAACGGCTTCTGAAGAAGGCGATAGTGCCGAAACATCAGCTAGCGTTGTGTTGTATCGTGTTTTTCTATGGAAGTAAATGTATGCTGTTTAAAAACCTCGCGGGTGCTATATTTGTTGTGAAATTTTTATTCAGCACACGAAGAATCTTTATATACTTGGTAAGGACGCCTTGGCTGTCCATGGCTTCAGTGAGCGCATTTATATTAACAGGATCAAAAGCTTTGCTTAAATTGATGAAATTGAGATAAAGCGGTCTCTTGTACTCCGGCGATAGTTCAGTGATTCTTGTTAACGCGCGGTTGTGGTTCCCCTAAACCGCAAAGGACTAGGGTGACGATCAGTACCCACAATTCTTGCGCACTTGCACACAAGTATTTGGTAGAGTACTTGATAATGCAGCAATGAAGGTTAAGGCATGAAGTCACCGGACTGGCCAAGGCGAGAAGACGCCACCCACTCAACGACGTCTATGACACCGTAGAAAAACTGTTCCGCGGAACATGCGACCATCGAAGAGTCCGCGGCGTCGGCGTTCCCGACAATATTGGTCTGAACATCGATTCATTTGAGCAACTAACAACCCAAATCAGCTGATTACGATTGAGGAGATCGAGATCAATGCCGGTCTTGACAATCTTCATCGTCTGCTCACCGACATTAAGCTATGACTAAAAAGAAGTCGAAGCGTTCTATATGGGGAACTTCCACAGAGAAAACCATACATTCTTTAAGGTCATCATTGGGAATTTCAACAAAACTAGACTTCGAAGAGCTCTGAAGAACGTTACATAGAAACCTACGATTTAGAATGGAACGAACAAGGTGAGTGGCTGTCTGAGTTTATCACGGCGAAGAAGACCATCCATAGTAACTCGCAATTCTAGAAGCTCCACCCTCAGCGCTGGACGCAGGAGTCTCCGAATGAAGAGCACCATAACGAAATAGACTACATCATAGTAAATAGAAGGTTTTGTCTAACCGATGTCGCTGTTGTTCCAAAAATCTACACAGGATCGGACCATCGCCTCTTTCGTGCAAGATTCTATTTCTCGCGGAAGGGAGAAAAAGCCGTTAAATTCAAAAACTGATGTCTCAGAACCACTTCAAACTGAAATTTATTCAATTCATTAGTCGGCTGCTGGGAAGATAACGTTGTTGATAACATCGACGAAGAATACGATCGGCTCATTCAACATCTTCACTTTAACGCTATGGAAGCTGAGTTCGAAACTCACCAAGATATATCTGTCTCCAGAAATATTCAAGATGACACGCCAGTGTGGAATCGCACGAGCTACAAGAAACCGCAACGTCACTTCCGAACTTGCAATACGAGGTATACGGGAGATAGGAGGTCTTAAAAAGAGAAGAACAGCAGTTATTATCGAAGCCGCAGAAGACGGAAAGAGCATTCGCAAAGCCCACCGAAGCCTCGCCAATTGGAAAACCAAGATGATTGCATTGCAACACTCAAACGAACAGTTACAGCTTCCAGAAAGGCAATGGAGAAAATCATTCACGACTACTAATCGGATCATTTAAATTGCCATGTCCTACTGCACTTGTATAAAATGAGGTTGGATATGTACGTTTTTCCTTCCGATATTTGACATGCTATTTCTTCGGTGAAAAATCGAAAAAGACCAGGTGCAGGCAGGATGAGAAGAAGAAGAAAGAGTTCATATAGTAATTCCCATGACCGACTTTCTGTTAACCTCGGCATTAATTGATAATTCAATGTTCATATAGATAGGTAATGTGCCTATCTCGCAATAGAATATCAGTGTTAAATATTATTCGAGATCACGTGTGATAACAAAGCATTCCTTCCTATGGCTCATTTCTGGATTCTTGGAATTAGTCCAGAATACTTAGAACTAGGTCTTAGCTAGAACTTAAAATTCTCATGCTAGCTAGTCTGGAATACAGTGAATTATTTCATCAATTCCGAGATTGATAGAAAGTTGGTCCTGTGAATTACTGCAACACAGTCCTAAACAATTTACATGTTGCGCTAGAAAGTGAACCAGCACTATGACAAAAATGATTATTTTTAAACGAATTTCGCAAGAAACCACTTAAGGTAGTACAATTTTAAAACTAGAAATCAAGTAAACTTTAAATCGTAAGGTGCCGGAGTTACGCACATTATACCTGGCACTCATAGCTTTTTTTCCACAGCTGGTTAGGTTGTTGATCAATGGTGACAAAAGGGATACCTAACGCCTTCTCCAAGTTGTCTATGCTTGGTTCCATGAGGACGTTGAGCTTTGCATGCACTAGACTTCATGTCTTACTGAAACCATTCAATCAGAACCAAATCGCCGATTCGCCAGTGGAACGCGGGGCGAACTTGGCTTTCATCGTGCACGCTGTAATAAGATTAATAAGATTACCACAGAAAAAAGAGAATGCTTTTTGAAAACCATCGATGATTACGAATTCGACCTTCTCATTACATAATTGATAATAATGCAAGGGATTTGATCTCATTTTGAGATAAAAAATGATGTGGACAAGTGAACCAGGAAAGAACTTCAATACAAAAGCATCAGTAGGGGCCATTTTTGTCCCTCTATCGTCTTCTAAAAGCTATCAAGCAGGCAAGAATACCTACGATTTCTTGAGCCATCAAGACGTTTCCTTTCGAGACGGGAAGCAGCAAAGCCTTCTCATTGATTTCAATGTGTCAACGTCCAGTGCTTTTCAAAGAGTCGCTGTGGAAAATTGATACTAGTTCGAAAAATTCGCTAAAGGTTGACAAACCGTATGAAAGGACACCAGATGACGTCAAAGAAAGATTACATCGAGCCGAGCAAGTAAGTGTTCTGACTTTTTTTCTGTCACTCACTTCGTTTTTTCTGCAATGACTAGGGAAGATATAAAATATAAACAGCAAAAAGGTAAGCGGAAAAGGATATCAGTATAAACCCGAAGCTCCTGTCGTAAATATGTTGGGGAGAATAAAATATAAGCAGTAAAAAAGGCAAGCGGAAAAGGATATCAACATAAACCCAAGCATCCCGTCGAAAACATCTTACAGACACTTTAACCTGAGAAATATTATAACCTTCCTTTTTAGCGTCTTTGGCAGAGAAGCATTTTAGAGTTGCAGTAGGTGGATTCTTCTGGAAACAATGAAGACTAATATGAAAAGGGCTAAAGCAGTGCAAAATGAGAAAGCAGCGAAAACAAAACTCGCATTGTAATGAAGAGAGCTACATTAGCAGAATGTGAAGTGGGAAGAAATCTGGCTCCAGAGCATTCGCCGTTCTTAGCTGTGGCGTCCGGGATCACCGCTGGGTATCTCAGATTCATCAAGAGCACTTGATGGCGATCTAGTCCCATCTTCCGCCTAACGTTACTCAACTGTTCCAGCCTTATTGTGTCGAAACCCAAACGTTATTCAACAGCGAAAACCTCATTTACTACAACTCTTCAAATGGGCACTATTTACCCTTCGTCGACGAAAGTACAATTCAAGGAAACGGATGAACAAAAAAGACAGTAATTACTGGGAGAAGAAGAGTTGCGTGATATTAAACAGTGTCGCTGACAAACAAAAGTCATCTAGTAGGCATTAAACTTGGCGAAGAGCTTTCGGTTCTATAGAACGGCGGCAAACCTAAAAACTAAGCGCAGAGCAACTTCCATGAAAAGAAGAGCATGTAAGATGTTCTGACGACAATTACACACCTCAATCCGTCTTTAAACGTCATTCTATTCCTCTCTAAGAGTGCGGAAGCTTGCTGATGTTTCACACGAGTTCACTAAGTTCTCATCAAGGCTAAGAAAATTGTTGACAAACTCGGTTTCCTGATTCGAAGGCATCAATTCGCCAGCAGACGGCCTTAACGTGTCCTGCTCGTATTCATCCACGACCGTCATTGTTGGCCGATCAAATGCGATTGGTAGGGAAACGATCACTTTTTGAAACGAACAGGCCAGTACCTGTTCGAACATTCGATCATATTAAGCTGTTCGTCAATTAAAGGATAAAGCATAAAACCCTCGCCGTCGATCAATCATTGAGGGATGAGCCACGCATTCGACTTCATTAAGTATCGCTGGACGTGATTGAATGCATATCTGGCCTTTACTCGATTCTCGCGGTGGCCTACCGATGTATCGAGTTAGTGCTGGTATCCTCCCAGACAAGTCTGGTAGCAATTTGCTGACTCCGGAGGGATGGAAGACTTGGTGGGCCATGGGCGCGGAGATCGATTCCACGTGTGCGTCGCAGTGGCGCCTCCAACCACTGTTCCACACGCGCTTTTTTATTCGTCAGTTATAATCTGTAAAATGTCTCTAAATATACTATGCATCGAGAATTTTACACAAACCCTCACTGTCTGGTAAGTAACTTTTTGAAGCGCACGAATTTTAAAGTTCGACGCTTAAATCCTCGCTTACGCAACTATTTGGCGCCTGAAGTTCAAGCGCACTCTTAATGAATTAATATGAACTAATGCCATAGTTATTGCTCTCTAGAAAACGGCTTCACTACTTTTCCCTTTTTTACCCCCTGTGATTTGATTAATTTTGCCTTCAAAACATCCTTCAAATTCTATGGATTCTGCCATGTGTTTGAAATATTTGGAACCCATTTCTCTACGCAAAATAAAAAAACAACGTATGCCGAAAAACCACTTTGTTTTGAGCACTCGGTGGTCCGCTTGACAAACTATGAGGTTGTTCAGAAATAAATACGCGTCTTTAACTATATTATTTAGAAGTATTATAATTCAGAAGTTTATTATTTAAAACCATTTTAACTGCATTGTTTATATTATTTATCTATATTCTGTCATAACCTGCTAAAACAAGGCTTATCAATAAAATTAAAAAGCATTTGGATCTACACATTTTTTCCAACGAGAAAGATCTCTACTTATTTCAACTGAATAAAAATCTGGAGTTCTGGAAGTGATGAATCCGTTGAGGGCATTTTTTGCGTCATCGCGATTATTGAACTACGAAGGAAGTTGTCAAGGTGTTCGAAGAAGTGATAGCCGGTAGGCGAGAGGCCTGGTGAATATTTCGGATGAGGCAAAGTTTCGTAGCCCAACTTGTCCATTTTCTGCAGCGCTCGTTTCGCAACGTGAGACCGAGCTTTGTCGTGAAGAACAATTTGTCCTTTTCTGTTGACTAACGCCGGTCGTTATTGTTAAAGTTCACAGTGCATTTTAAAGATTTGATGGTAGTACTTCTCTGCCGTAATCGTTTCGCCCGGATTCAAAAAGGTGTGTTGAACTAACCTGGCTGCAGACCATCGAACGGCCACCACAACCCTTTTTGATGCAATTTCGGCTTTGGGAAGAGCTGTGGATCCTGATCTCAATCCAACCATTGAGCTCAATGTCGCCGATTGTCGTACAGAACCTACTTCTCGTCATTCGTTACAATTGAATTAAGAAAAGGGTCGTTTTTGTTGTGCAGAATAAGTGCAGGCTATTCAAAACAGCGATTTTTTTGTTATCGTTTACTTCGTGCGGCACCCACTTGTCGAGTTTTTTGTCTCTCCTATTCTATTCGAGTGGAAGTTGTCCCTGCGCTTACACCAAGCTGTTCTGCAAGCTCTCCGACAGTTGTTCGCGTATTTCGCTCCACTAGCGGCTTCAATTCATCATGGTCAAGTTCTTTCGGACATTTGTAGCCTTCCTTATCATCAAGGTTGAAATCACCTGGTTGGGATTTCCGGAACCATTTTCCTACTGTTGATTCGTCAACACTACCTTCACCCCAAACTTTATTAATGTTTCGAGTCGTCTCTACTGCACCACGACCAAGTTTGAACTCGTAATAGAAAATTTGACAAAAATTCGTTTTCGATATCCGAAATTGCAAAGCTCAAAACTGGCTAAGGAATTCAACTTTTCACAAAATAACAAAATATTAAAATTAAACATAAAAACAGCTTTCTAATGATATACAATATTGGAATGTGCAAAAATTATTTCATCGATAAAAAATATATTAAAACAATAAATATTTTAAAGCTTACTTAATTGATACTTGAACGGCCCTTCGTCACTGGTTGTGCGGGCCCCAGCCTAACCACCACTATTCGGAGATTTGCTGGTTAGACCATTGTGGTTCCCTGGTTTCCCGAGGTCAGCCTTGCCAAAGGCCGCCCCAGGTCTTCGCCACCACGCGCACTCGCGGCACTTGTGGATCAGAGGGAGATTCGCCACCATGCGACTTTGACACCAGGACGGAAGCGGATCCTGGTATTGGTTTACTCTTAGCTAGGCTTCCTGATGGAAGCGCCGGACCCCTTCTCAGCTTCGGAGACCCTGCCGGTGGGACGAATCTCACCGCTGCACATCGCAATCCGACATCCAGGAACACCTCGCAGCCACGATGAGGTGGTAAACCGTTAGAAAAAAATATTTTAAAAAGTCTATTTATTTCCGAACAATCTAATATACCGGTTGAATGCCAGTATTTTTTGCACACACCCATTGTTTAAGATAAACATAGTCGTTCATAGCGACGAGAATGAAATAACAACGAAATGCGGATCGAAACTGATTTTTGCAAATTCGGCACATAGTAGACCTAACTAGCTTATTAACAATTTCAGAAAATAAAGTCTTATTTTATTTTCCAGTCATAAAAAATTGGAGAACAATCGAAAAATTTTAAAGGGCCGGTAGAAGGCGTGGCAGCAGCAAGCATTAACAATCGTTAACACTATGAACTATACTGGTTTCATTAATGAAAATAACCCGATTAGTTGCTCCGATATCTGAAGTATGAGCATCGACAGCAAAAGCATTTTTGTTGGTTCCAAAATTTTGAAATCAACCTTGTAAGAATTAGAAAACTTGCCTTCTTTGAAAAGGTCTGTAGAATTTTCTGATTCTATTTCAATAAATATCATTTAGGGAGATCAGATATATGGACTTTCAAAGTTAGAAGGATAGGTTATTTCCTAACAAGTAGGAATCACTCAACGTACGAAGAGTCGACAATCCATTGAGATAAGCGTTGTAGCCACTGCAGAAGAAATAAGCAATAATGATTTTAAAAACTGGCATCCGAATTAATAATGAAACTCATTGAAATCAGGAAAGCTGGTATACACAAACTTATCTTCCAAAAAATTGCAGAAATCAAGAAATGAACTGCGAGGAGATGTGTTGATCGCACTTGACCTCGCGCCACGCATGGGAAAAAGGGATAGAGCTCTCAGCGTTGATCTATCCCTGAGGGATGCGTCATGCATTTGACTTCATTAAGTATCGTTGGAGGTGAATGAATGCATATCTGGCCTTTACAATAACT